GACCTGTGCTTTGAGGGTTTGGATTTGCTTTCTTCCATCGCTTTGATACGTACCGCGAAGTCTGTCCGACCTTCCTCAATCCCCTCTCTCTCTAGCTCTCTCTCTCTCTCCATCATAGATGCTCTATTCCGACTTCTTCAATGTAAATCCCTTAAAAGGCAATTGATTTATTGATGAGTCAAGAAGATTTAAGGTTTTAATCTCAGACCCACAAGGCTAAGCACTCAGGTTGGAGGAGATTATTGACTCTATTCACTGCACTGCATTTATTATTGCAGATTTTCTCATATTTGGCTTGGATTCTGTGAGTTTTTAGTTGTATGTGATATACATGTAGATTGGACAGTGTCCACGAATTGTATTATTTGGATTGTGAATTTGGGGTTAAAGTGCATTCCTTTCTGGGTCCTGTGTAGAACCTTTGATGGGCTTGGGATTTGAGGTTTTGAGATTGAAGGTTGATGGTTTCTGGGTATTTGTCTGATTCATCGATGGTCTGGAAATTGTGGTCTCTGAGGTTATTGTTGTATTTTCTTTCTTCCATGAATGGTTTAGCAAATTGAGCCTTTGAGGTTGAAGTGTCATCGCTTTCTGGGTTTTTCTTTTTCCAGCATTATTGGTTTTGACGGTATTTTGTTGTGAAGAACAGGTGTTGGTTTCTGGGTAATTTGTGTATTTCTTACTGGTTTTTAATTATCTGTTAGTCCATAGAGTATTTCTATTTTGTGTTTGATCACTGGTTTAAGAATCCAGGCTTTTGAGGTCTGAGAATATCAGTTTTCTAGACGTGTGAGTGAGCAAGATATGAGTCGGAGGGTGCGGAGAAAGGTAGCAAGAAGGGGGAAAGGAAAGGTGGATTTGCCAAGTTGCCCGGAGATTGAGATGAAGGTTTTAGATTGGATCAGAGAGGCGTTCTTGATTGGACTAGATTGCCTGATGATACAGTAGTTCAGCTGTTTTCGTGTCTGAATTATCGTGACAGGGCGAGCTTGTCATCGACATGTAGGACATGGAGGACTCTGGGGATGTCTCCATGCCTATGGCAGTCATTGGATCTTCGTGCGCACAAGTGTGATGCCACAGCGGCAGCTTCACTTGCCTCTTGGTGTGCAAATCTTCAGAAGCTTCGCTTTCGTGGGGCAGAATCTGCCGATGCAATTATACATCTTCAAGCAAGGGGTTTACGTGAAATTAGTGGTGACTACTGCCGGAAAATTACTGATGCTACTCTATCAGTGATTGCGGCTCGACATGAGGCACTAGAGAGCCTCCAACTTGGGCCTGATTTCTGTGAAAGGATCAGCAGTGACGCAATAAAAGCTATTGCTATTTGCTGTCCTAAACTGCAGAAACTTCGGCTTTCAGGTATCCGGGATGTTGATGGGGATGCCATTAATGCTTTGGCTAAGCATTGTCCGAATATGGCTGACATTGGGTTCATTGACTGTCTTAATATTGACGAGACAGCATTAGAAGTGTTGTATCAGTTCGCTTTCTCTCAGTTGCAGGGACAACAAACATGAAATGGAATATGGTTTCACAGCATTGGAGTAAGCTTCCTAATTTGAAAGGTTTAGATGTTTCAAGAACTGACATCGTTCCTGCTGCAATTTTACGATTGTTTTCATCTTCACAAAGCTTGAAGGTCTTGTGCGCCTTGAATTGCCCAGCCCTTGAGGAAGACACCAGCTTTGCTTTCAATAACAAGGGTAAACTGCTACTTGCTCTTTTTACAGACATTTTTAAGGGAGTTGGTTCTCTATTTGCCGATACCACAAATAACGAGAAGAATATATTTGCCCATTGGAGGAATTCAATGAACCAAAATAGGAATTTGGATGAGATTATGACTTGGCTGGAATGGATACTTTCACATGCACTTCTACGTATTGCTGAATGCAATCCCCAGGGTATGGATAATTTCTGGATCAGCCAAGGCGCAGCCCTATTGCTCAGTTTGATGCAGAGTATACAAGAGGATGTTCAAGAAAGGGCAGCTACAGGCCTTGCAACTTTTGTTGTAATTGATGATGAAAATGCTAGTGTTGATGGTGGAAGGGCTGAAGCAGTTATGCGGGATGGTGGCATACGACTTCTTTTAAACCTTGCAAGGTCTTGGCGGGATGGGCTACAGTCAGAATCTGCAAAGGTAAAGATTATGGGGACTACAGTAACAAATGATCATGATAAATTCTGCAACTTTATTATTTTGCACTTTTTCAATCCAACTCTAGTGACTTACATTGGTTTAATTATATTCTGATGGGGCTCACTTGATATCGTTTGCCGCATGCTTCCATATGTTGCTAAGATTACAAGGTTGACAGTTGACGTATATTTAATCTTAAACTTCACTCTAATTACTGAAATTTGGTTGCTTTTCAAACTTTTGGAATGTAGGCTATAGCAAACTTATCTGTGAATGCCAATGTGGCAAAAGCAGTGGCAGAAGAAGGAGGAATCAATATTCTTGCAAATTTGGCAAGATCTATGAACAGGATGGTTGCAGAAGAGGCTGCAGGAGGACTGTGGAATCTCTCTGTTGGAGAAGAGCACAAGGTTGATTGGTTTCTCAAATTTTCACCATCATATACTCTTAACTTCCGATTATAGTAACAAATTTTTTGATTCCAGGGCGCCATTGCTGAAGCTGGTGGTGTAAAAGCTTTAGTTGATTTGATTTTCAAATGGTCTACTGGTGGTGATGGAGTTCTAGTACGTGTCTTTTGCACCATGCATAGACAATGCATTCATCAATGCACACTCTTCCCTAGAACGCCTTTTAATTCATGCATAAGATGCAAACTGACTTGTTGCTATATCATTATAAAAATTGGTTGGTTTTTGTGTGCTTTTTTTTTCAGGAACGTGCGGCTGGTGCTCTAGCGAACTTGGCCGCTGATGACAAGTGTAGCATGGAGGTTGCAGTGGTAGGTGGTGTACATGCTTTGGTAATGCTTGCTCGAAACTGCAAGTCAGAGGGAGTGCAAGAGCAGGTGACAGTTTTGTCTAATATCAAAGAAGGCAGTCTTTAATATGCATACCCGCAAGCAGCATGCTTCAAATGAATATGTTTTACTATTAAGGACTATGAATCCAGATGAAGTTGGTTTCAACCCTAAAATATGAATAGTATGTAGGGTCATAGGAAGGTTTGTTGAGGACAGCTAACTCTACCCTGTAATTGCGTTTCTCTCTTAGTGTTGATATCTGTTACATATGATTTCTCTAGCTGGCAATCTGTTTTGTTTCAACAATTGATGAGAACCTGTTTTGCTTAACCGTCTCTGGGTTTTGGTCTAGATGCAATTGGTTTTATATTAAGTTGCCTCATGTATACTGTGCAAGAGCCGGTTGAATTCTGCAAGGATTCCACTTAATGAATGCTTTTGATTTTATTCATTTCTGTTTAAAAGCTCATTTTTATGATGATATGTTACCACGATTGTGCTTTATTTTGATATGTGACCTTCACATTATGCTCACTTGACTTGAAGGGGTGTGAAAATAACATGCCAAACTTAATCTTTTCTTGTCATGGTAATGTTATTCTTATGTTTGCTTATGTTGATAAGTGCAAATTCTCTAGATTGATAAGTGCAAATTCATGGCTGCATTGGCCTTCATGCATTCCATGTACACAAATACATAATTTATGGTCCGTGTGCAAAAAGATCCACGCATGGCACAAGTTTAGTACCTATTTATGTATATCTTCCTTTATTCTCTAGGCTGCTCGTGCTTTAGCTAATTTGGCTGCCCATGGAGATAGCAACAATAACAACGCTGCTGTTGGACAAGAGGCAGGAGCTCTTGAAGCACTTGTGCAACTCACACGTTCTGCCCATGATGGTGTCAGGTAGTCTATTTTTGATGGAATTTAATCACTTCAATTGCTACTTGGTTTTTTGAATTTTAGTCATCCGTGATTCCTTTCTTTTTTCTGAATTTTTTTTTTGGTTTTTTTTTTTTTTTTGGGGGGGGGGGTTAATGGTTGGAAAACAATGAACTTAGTAATCATATGCTGAATGTATTATTGAAAAAAATAAGGTGAATGCTATTGCAGTTTTCAGGATGGTAGATCTCATTTTCTTTTAATCTGAAAGAGATAGCTGATGGACTGCACCAGCTTATATAACCATTTTCTTCTTCATTTGATCCTGTTATCTATCTTTGATCATATATGTAGAAGCGATTTCCCTGTGCAATAAACAAGACTAACACAAGGGAAAAGGGGAAGAAAAGTTCTAGGTATCAAATTGCCAAGATGTGAAAAGAACAATAGATCTTAGTAAGCATGCATGATTACATCTATCTTAGTTGTCTAACGCTTCCGCAAATAATGTATTATCTAGGTAAGATTTTTTGTACCTCGATTGGATTATTCTTTTTCATCGCATTAGTTATTTTATGGTTTACTTCCTTAAGGTTCGTCATGCACTTTAGTCACTTTGATTTGAACTCTGTGAAAAGAATACTATGAATCTTAGCAAAAACTAATATTTCTTTACATACATTATTCTTCTATATCCATGGTTCTTGCGGTACTTACATTGATACACCTTACAAGGAATTATTTTATGAGTTCTTTCAATCAAGTTGAGAGTGCAGTTAAGGATCATCCCCAACACGCTGAACTTAGACATATTTGCCTGAGGGTGAATAGGTCTTAGTACTCAAATGAGGAAAACTTAGTTCAATCGATTATCGATTAACTAACCAACTAACACAAAACCCCAAATTTACCTAACCCAAATTACTATTTTGGGAACTCAAACAAAATCCCAAATTTCCCAACACACTTCAATTCAATTGAATTTATTTTATCCAATTAAATCAGCCAACACCCTCAGTACGATTCACAAGAATTTAGTTAACTACGTATATGAGAAAGGCAAAATTCCATGTATGTAACAAGAGATAGGGAAGAGACGATCACTACCACAACACAAACAATCTTACATGGAAACCCTCTCAAGATAATACACGGGACCGTATTCCATTTGACCTAATCCACTAGCCTCAAAGTTAGATTACAAGTATAAAGACTAATACCTTTCGGAGTCCACTGCAAGTTCTTAACGACTAACTTCAATAGGTGGCGCTCTACAATCCGCCTTTGGAACTATCCCTCATCTTTTGGAATCCTCTTTTGATCCTTGGAATCCTCCTTAGATCCTTTGCTTTGCAGGTTTTAGGTGTTCTACAAGATCTCTCAAAGTCTAGATTGATTTCATTAAAAAGTTTTAGATTGATCAAGTAGATGCTGGGGTAAACCTTTTGAATCTCTTTTTAACCTCTCTTATGTCCTAGAGTCTCTCTTTGGTTGAATAAAGACGTCCCATCTTTATAAGTGGGGAAAATAGAAATTAAGTGGGGAACAAGTTAACCACACGAACACTTAGAGAGAGTGTTGCCCGGGGAAAAGAATAACTGCCCGCATTTGAAATTTAAAGCCTAGTCTATTTTGCTCAACTACTTGAGCACTTGGAGAGCGGTGTTCACTGGTTTCTTGAACTAAAACCAATGCTCTCTTTAACCTTTTAAATACCAAGGGGTGATACCTAAAAAACCTACATACCATGACTCTTATATTGTTTCAAAACCAACCCTCAAAGTTTCAATAAAAATCCGTAGCATGATTCTCATATTTATGAAAAAATGTTTTACTTAACACATAAGTCCATTTTATTCATCTAAGTTAAACCATTCTAAGGCAACTAGGTATGTAGATTGCGTATATCACCTAAGCTTATGGATTACAAGAAGCTTTCACATGTTGCTAGGGGTGGGCTCCGACTCTGACGGAGTCGAAAAGCACAATTTTGAACTTCGACTTTAGTCAAAGTGAATTTTGCCCTCCTACTCCAAACTACGTTGACTCTGCTTATCGGTGTCGGGACGGAGTTTTGGAGTTGGGTCAATTTGCTGTAGATGCCCATGTTGTAGATCTAAGGCAGACCAGAGAGAGAGAGAGGCGTGAGGAGGATCTGAAAGCGTGTCACGGATGGTTGAACAGCTGAAGGCGTATAACGTACACATCTGGTGGAGGCTGCTGGGCTTTTCAAATCTGAGGCAGGCTGTTGGCTGAGGCTTTCAGTTCTGCTGGGACTTTGATGAAATGTTAGGGGTTCTAGTGGAGGCATTGAACCTTGAGTCGACTGAAAGAGAGAGCCTCCTTTTACCGTGTTGATTGTCGACTTATAGAGTCGGTTCTTCACCCAACTGGAAGCTTCCGAGATATCCGCCATTGCAGGCGACAATAGAGGCTTTCTAAGGAGGAGATATTGTCATGGAGGAAGAAAGATCAAGAGAGAGAGAGAAATGGGGGGCTGGAGTTGGAGTTTTTTTGGAAATGATTTCAAACTCTGACTCCAATCCGTGTTTGAATTTTCCCTCCAACTCTTTCCGTCGGAGTCAGAATTTCAGATTCTTGCACACCCCTACATGTTGCAATGTAACTTGAGTTTCTTTATCACATAAAATACAGTTAAATTTTCAAAGCCCTCTAATTCTAGTTTGAGAAAAAAGAATGGGCCTATTTTGGGATTGTCTCTATGGTTTGAAAGTTAAATTTACCAACCATTACTTTCAATGGAAAATTATATATTTTGGTGTTTGGTTTGCTTCAGAATGAGATAGCCTTTCCGTAGATCAGTTAATTTTTTTTCTTGATAGGCATTATGATTTTTTCTATTCCTTAAAACAGGCAAGAAGCTGCTGGTGCATTGTGGAATTTATCATTTGATGATAGAAATCGAGAAGCAATTGCAGCAGCTGGTGGTGTTGAAGCCTTGGTTTGATAATTTCTTCCTTGATTCCAAACCTTCCAGTTACTGTATTTTAGGTGGCATGTGATACAACTTCCTATAATTATAAGTACTTGTTGGGGATTTGTTGATACAAATGGACGTTGTTGTATTTTTAGGTGGAGTTGAAGCAATCATATAAAGCCAAACCAGTTATAGCTTGTGTTTCAACTTTCAAGTAGTGCCTTCAGTAGCATATTGGTTGTTTGGTGCAAAAACTCAAGAAGCCTGTCATCCTCTGAAATAGAGAATTAACAAATACTAAAATTATAGTTTTGTCTTTCTGCCGGTATAGAATACTTGTCCAAATGACAAGCATCATATATTTTTCAGATATAGATGTTATTGTCCGTGCAAGATACAACATAAATGGAAAAAAAATGCACGAACTACACGTTCCCTTTTGTAATCCCCTGTTGGTCATAAATACCAGGCTTTATTTGTTCATATTAATGAGTATTGTGTATCAAATTTATTTGGTTTCTTCTAATTCTGTTTTAAAGATGGTCAGTCATTTACTTTCTTGGCTTTACTGAGCCTGGGATTCTGACAATCCTGGTAAAAAATGTGTGGCGGAATTGAATTTGTTATTCAAGTCTTAGATCGGTTTTGTTTTTCTCTCATTTTTCATGCCTTCTCTTTTTTATGACTTTTGCAAAATTTTGAGCATAAGGAAGATGGTCAGTTATTTTTTTTGTGTTGATAAGTTGAACACTGTTGTTTGCCTTCTACACTTCCTGAGGAAAATAGGACTGATAAACAGGGTAGGTCCATTTGGGTGATAACCCTTTTCTATTGGCTCACCAAGTCTTGCTCTCCACTAATGTGAGAAGCATTGACATTTCCATCAGAAGTCAAATTGCTGATAAACATTTTCTCTGGAATTATTTCATCCATGATTTTGCTTCACTGAGCAACCCTTGTATCACAATAGTAATGTTTTCTGTTGTGGCTGTTTTTAGATGCAATGTCAGTGGAGTTGAACAATGAGAGCTATCAAATCACAGTTTGTATATTTTGTTTCGGTCAATAATTTTAATTTGAGTTGAGGCTTCAACATTGTGTTGTTTAGGTTGCTCTTGCACATTCCTGTTCAAATGCATCTCCTGGTCTTCAAGAGAGGGCTGCGGGTGCTCTATGGGGTTTATCAGTGTCTGAAGCCAACAGGTATGTGCAATAGTTTATTATAACTTTCTGCTTGCACGGAACTTGGGCTCAGGTTTGGCTCGGATAAACAACGAGTTTGAACAATTAATCAGTTCGTTTATAAAATGAAAGTTAAAAACGAGTTGAGCTCGAGCTACTTGATTCGTTTAATAGCCCTACACATGATTAGTTTTTTTTAAATAGAAACATGAAGATGTGTTATTTGACAGTCATGTTTTCATCGTGGTGGTAGTAAATCCTATTTAATGATTTATATACAAATTGACTGGCATTCTTATTGTGTCGGGACCGAGGATGCAATTTTTGTGTCTATTCCACTCCAAAATGATTTTTTTTCCCGATAAGAAACGACAATTTATTGACAATCAAACAAAATTCAGTACAAGAGCCAAACCAAATGTGGACAAGGAGTCCAACAAAATGACACGCCATGAAAATATAAAAAAGAGTAATCAAATTACAAGCCACATGATGCTTTCTAGCTTCTCATAATACAAAATATAGGAATATTTTCAAACTCCTTAGCCGTTGAGGCCCAGAAAGAAGTCAAAAAATAAAGTCTATCCCATGGTCCTTCCAATTCCTCACATTATCTTCAAACTACAAGCCAAAATGTTACATACTACTCACTCATAAACACATTCCTGCTCATTAATTCGAATGAACTTTTTCCTCAACTCTGAATGGCTGATGATAGGTCTGATTTCTTGTTGCATTCCCTTTATGTCATGCTATTATCCAATTTGACTAAACCGTGGTTCTCTTTTATGCAGTATGGGCCCATATTTTTGTTGGCTGTGGAGAATTTTTGTTTTTTTCTTTTGGTTTTTTGATTGTGTTACAAAATCTTATGGAATACATTTGATGTGTCTCTACTAGCATTGCTATTGGACGAGAAGGTGGTGTTGCCCCTCTTATTGCGCTGGCACGATCTGAGGCCGAAGTAAGTAAATTTTCTCTCAAACATTTTTTTTCAGGGAAATAGTGTTGGAAGTCTTTGTTGGTTTATCCCCCAAATGAAAGGCAAAATACTAAAGAGGAAAGGTAAAAAAATCATACTGTTTATTGAACTCGCCTCTCGTATACAAAGCAAGTCCAGTCTAGATCTTCTTATGCATAAGTTTCATTATTGCATGTAATCTCTGTGTTTGTCTGGCCGGTGTTCTTCTATTGTAACTTAGCATTTGTTGTTTGGATTTAATAAGTAGCTATAATTATTTTCTTGTCAAATTTGACATGAAATGCTGGTGGACATTAAAGCCATTGCTTGTACCAAAACAGGTCATAAATCAAATTAGCATATTTGGATTGGCAGTTTGGTAGTCTCTATGCCTTACATCCGTAATTTATAGAAAGCAGCATGTGGCTTACAACTCATGAAGCTTAGTTTTAACTCGTGACTTCTAAATATTCTGCCATCTTGTCGAAAAGTATTCTAATCCTCTAATTGTCCTTTGATGGATCTTTATCACTTTGTTGAGAAAAGGCGTGCATGAATAGAGAAAGATGAAACCGAAGTGTTAAATTTTGGTCAGAAATTAAACCTTCACATGTCATTTTCAAGACTAGACACCGAGGCAAATATAACATATTTGCACGAGACGTTCAGTTAATGTCACAATCACTGGTTTTAGAAATTAAGCCTTGTGTCTAGCTTCACCTTACTTCTTTGTGTTTACCAAGTATGAATATCATATTACATCAAGCATGTAATTTATCAACTACTCATACAATCAAGGCAAGTAATTGTAATACCCAATTTTTGAATAGAATGGTAAATGGTAGGAGGAGAAAGAGCATCCATAGAAAATTGCAAACTGAGTCGGGTGATTTTGTGATATATTATTTGTGATAGCCAAGAAAATCACAGAATTCTATAAAGGTTTGTATATTGTTATTGTTCCTTTTAGGTCTATTTGACGAATAGTGATTCGTGTCATATAATGTATGAGTGAACGAGTTGATTTGAGAGGCCATTTGAGGAGAAGATTAGAAGAGTTGTTTTTGATATGGATAAGGAAAA